AGACCCTTCTTCAGAAATGAAGACCCTTCTGAAGAAGGGTCTAGGCCCGAAACGTCAGCCTTCCTGCTCCTCTGATGCTGCTTGGCCTGCTGTGTTCATCCAGCTCTACACCTTGTTATCTCAGATTCTCCAGCATCTGCAGTTCCTACTATCTCTGAAAACAAATGTTTCAGGTTTAAAGCACATACATTAATCAGCTTAATGTGCTGTTTAACTTTCTCTCTGCTAATGTCAGGTTGTATTTAATAAATTGTGAAGTCTTTTGTTTAAGATACAAAACTGTTTCTTGGAAATTAATTATTCACACAAAGTCTGGAAGTGTTATTCAAAAGTCTGGTTAGGAGCCATTGGAGTGATTCTTTGGGGGTCTTCGGTTTAGTTTTACTGTGCGGCGAATACAGAGGGAGGCTGCATTTGCTTGAATGTCTGTCTCTGTGTTGGAACAAAAGAAACTGGAACAATAGTTTGGGTCTATCCTTGTGCTCAAAAGTGGGTAGCCAGTAAGTCAGGAAATATCTTCCAAAGATGTTCACGAATTTTGTCATGCCAAGATGCTGAAAATTATGCTTGTTAAAAATAGATACCGTGAGATGAAAGGAAGAAATGGAGATATTTAGCCGGAATCAGATATCCTCGTAAATATAGATCTGTGTCTGTCATGGGCTGAGAGTCATCGGTGGGGGGTTGTAAATGATTTATCAGGTGAAATGCCATTTCATTGTTTTCTGTTCTAGTTTTGTGCTGTCATATCCTACTTTGGGAACTTTGTTGGGTGTCATAAAAAGGACATCTAAACATAAGTACATTCGTCAAGAAGCTGCATTCTACAGTAGGTTGTGATAGCACATGTAATATCGCAAGATTCCTCAGTTCTATATCTGAAAATATGGTGTCCCTACTGGAAGTAGAAGATAATGCTTCCATAATTAGAAGTGTAAGTCTTTTCCTTTTGTGGTTTTGTGACTTATTTTAAACTAAAGTTCATCATTTTATGATCACCATTCTGTTAAAAAATAATGAATGCACATTTCAAAGAGGTTGTCATGTCACTGGAGTTGTTAGCACTTTCAGTTTTCTGTTTGAGGTGTCTGTTCAAAGCTGGGAGAATTTTGCTACCCTTCAGATGAAAAGATAACTGAAGTAACTTGGGAAGGCTTTAAAGATCACTATTTGAAGAAGACCAATATTTATTTATTGATTGAGACAAACAAAACAAATTAGCAATTCAGCTTTTTTTGGTGGATTTTATTATGTAAAATAATTTGCTACATTCATGTGTGTCATAGCAAAGAATTGACTGCTTTATGCAGAGGCTGGCAAAAGGCTGTGCTGACAACAATAGAAAATGAGTAGAACTGCTAAGTTAACAGTAATTAGACAGTGAATAATCATGCACTGGCATTAGTAGGTCCAATGACGGAGCAAGATGAGCTTGTGGCCTTAACTTGAGCTTCACATTTAGATAAGTTTTAAAAAATTAGCCCGTCTCCAGTGGCCTTCCACAATCAACATTAAAAAATCACTTGCTGGGTTCCCATAGATTTGCATGGCAAATTCTGCCTAATTTTTCTTTCTGGAAAGATTTTCTAAAATAGAATACTCCTTAGTAGCATATTTAAGAGCCCTGATACATGTATTAGGCTAACATCAGTCATGATTGCAGTAAAATCTGGACAATCAGTATTAGACTTTCCTTGTATGATTTTTTTTATAAGCTGGAATTTCATGAATCAAAGTGGTTTAGAACAGGAACAAACACTGAGGGGAGGTGATGGCCAAGTGGTATCATTTTTAGGCTATTGATCCAGGGACCCAGATAACATTCTGGGGACCTGGGTTTGATTCCTGCCCTGGCAGAGAGTGAAATTTAATGTTCAATTTAAGAAAAATTTTGGAATTAAGTTTAGTGGCAACCATGAAACCATTATCAATTGTCAAGATAAAGCCAACTGGTTCACTAATGTCCTTTAGGGAAGGAAAGCCTTACCTGGTCTGGAGTCCATGTGACTCCAGACACACAGCAATGAGGTTGACTCTTAACAATTAGGGACAGGCAATAATTGCTGGTCTAGCCAGTGAGGCCCTCATTCTATCAATGACTTTTTAAAAAAGGCCACAGGAAACCTCTCACCAGTTTGCACCATAGATACATAACGCAATAAGGTCCAATTCCACCCATAGAGTGTACTGGAATAGGATAGGTATTTGAGGGATTGAGTGATTTCTGTTTTTGTTTTGGGACTGGCCAAGAGGTTTGAAGAGTATTTTCTGGTTC